CAAGGCCATCCAGATTAAATGCAAGTCTGCTGTGTAAGTGATTTGCAAATTACAACCTAAATAATCAGTTTCCAGCTGGTATCTCACAAAGACATAGAGGACAAATTTCAGTGCCATGGAAGAGACATTCCATTTGTGCCAGGATTTGGTAAAACAGATATATAGCAGATACAATAGAATATTTCCATAAAACAATGTCTTCACCTGAGCAATTATGTAGGAACAGCAGATGGCCATTATCTTCTGACAATATTTTATTGGCATCTCTGAAATGGATAGCGCTTAGCAATGCATAATCTAATGTGATAGTCACTCTATATTCACATTGCACAAAGAATAAAAACGTTGCAGAGATGTCTGCAGTCGTATAATGCTAATGGAACAAAGAGAATACACCTAAAATATTAGTGTTCTCCTCCCTCCCCCAAGTGAGTTTAGTCTTTGAAAAGTGCAGAATTAACTGAAGGTGTTCAGCTGTTGAATGAAAAGTTATATCAACACTATCAGGATGGGTGGAACATTTATTTTATACTTTCTAGGCTTTGTTTCAAGTAAACAACCTTAGAAAAAAACAGTTTAGCATCTATGTTATGCTCTTTTTTCTCTCATTGTCAGAAAAAGTGGCAGATGTAGGTAGTATTAAAAGTCTGTTTTAGCAGCTCACATTTTGAACATCTTCTAAAAATGTCTCCAATTATAACAATCCTTTCTTGCTGCCTCTTTCTCTCCTGATTAGGCCACAGTAAGACATAGATTTCTTTTATTCGTCATTCAGTTGAAACATTATTTGGAACACTGAAAGACTTAAATAAAACAAAAGGAGGAAAATTTAGCATTCCTTGTCTTCAGTAATACAGTTGGTAGATTTACTCAGTCCCTTTGATACAAATATGATATTTGGTGTTGCTTCAAGTTTTTTGCTTCCAGATAAGAGAAGAATGATGCTCCACTCTATTTTATATGCAAAATCTACCTGGCTTGAACCCTCAGATAATAACTGAATATCAGATGTAAGAGTACTCATAATTAAAACTTTGCAGCTTGATTCAGCATGTGCCACATGAAGTTTGCTTTCACAGATTATCTATTTCTATGAAGGGTATCAACATATCACCATTTTTATTTCTCTCTACATTCATAGAAATGATTGAATAAAGTTATTCATTTTAGAAAATGTACATTTTGAGGTGGTTTTGAAATTAAAACACATAAGTGAATAATTAAAACAGCAGGAAGAATGGTATGCAAAGAGAAGATCACTTCGGATAGAATGCCATACTCAAGACATTTAAAAACTGCTAGATTAAAATCATAGTGCAATAAAAAAGTAATTGAGGACTTAATTCTCAAAAGAAAGGAAGCCTAGGGAGCTTCAGCAACACCACTCTGCAGAAAACACAACAATCAAATACACAGTCAGGATGCACTAACATATACTCCACTTTGTGGAACAAGCTAGCCCTAACACCCAAGGAAACAAGCAGGTCTTCAAGGCCTTCCTGGAGACTAATGGGATCAGGGCAAGTTGAAACTTGGGGGAGATCATTCCACATTCCACAATAATGGAAAGGCCCTGTCCTTACCCAACGCCATTCTGGTCTGCTGTCCAGTGCAGGAGTAGGTAAGGTACATACCAGGAGGAAACAGTCTTTATGATAATCTTGCTCCATTCTACTAGCGTAGATGATGGAAAAATATCAGTTTCATTTGCACACATTCATGATTTCATATACTGCTTATTTATTTATACATACATACATACATACAATTTAGAGGCCACCCAACTCCTAATGAATCTAGGTGGTATACAGTTAAAGAAGTAAGAACGGTACAACAAAATGAAGGAAATCACATGTGGCCTGAAGACAAGCATACAGGTAGTTTTTGCTTAACAACCATTCATTTAGTGACTGTTGAAAGTTACAATGGCACTGAATGAATGGTAATTACAACTGGTTCTTGAAGTTATGGCTGTCGCAGCATGCCTGCAGTCATGTGATCAAAATTCAGGTGCTTGGCAGCCTGCCTGCATTTATGACTACAGTGTCAGATTCAGCTGGCGTGGCATGGCTAGGAACTTGCCCAGCCGCGCTTAGTCAGTTTCACCGCTTGAGCACTAGCAAGGAAAGGGGAAGTGAGAAACCGCAAACTGATTAATGGGCCAGCTGGCACCGCTTAACTAAACTGCAAGCGGGTACTTTGTGTCAATGCCAAATGGCCGCGGGTGCTGTAGACAAAGGGGAGAGCAGCGGATTAGAGGTAACGCAATCAGCACGTGATTGGGAACTCCCGGCTTTGCGAGCAACAGAAAGACCCAACAACTACAACAACAACGCCATCGATAGAAAGCAATCAAGAAAACAAAAGAGCTGGACTGAATCTGCCATTTGAGTAAAGGGGGGGGGGGATTCCTGCGGGTAATCTGTAACCAAGCAACAGGGGCTAAGCACGGGAATGGGGGAACTATAAATTGTATTGTAAGATGTGCCAAGTCAGTCCTGGCTTTGTCTGTAATTACGTACATTACGCTTGAGTAAACTTCTTTGCTGAACACACGTGTCATCTTTGCTGAACACACGTGTCATCTTTGCTGAACACACGTGTCATCTTTGCTGAACACACGTGTCATCTTTGCTGAACACACGTGTCACGAGAGTTTCTCTGAGTCGAACGGGGTAAACCTTACATACAGCATGTGCTTCAGCTCCCCCAACCCACCTATCTCCTCCCCATCTCTGCCCTTTTGGCCCCTGTGTTGCGAAGGGGCAGCAGTGGCCTTGGTTGGGTGCACCTCAGAAGCAGGAGGAAGAGGATGGTGAAGGTCAGTTGGGGGAGGCAGGGTAGGCAGTGGTGGAGTGCAGGCAGCCAAAAGGGCAGAGATGGGGGGCAGATAAGAGGGTGGGGGGAGTTGAAGCGGAGGCGATGGAGCCTTGTCTGCCGAAGGGATCTTGCTGGGCCCAGCTGGGAAGAAGAAAGCAGCAGGATGGAGCCAGCAGTTCACGCAGGGCAGGAGAAGCACGAGGTCCTCCCCTAATGGTGGAGTGCTCCTTGCCTAATGACCACAATCGGGACTACCAGAACTGCCGTGGCTAAGTGGTACGGTCATGTGACATTTCGCCAGAGTGTTCCAGGTTAGAATGTTCTGCTGAGGATGCTGGTCAGACTCCCTTCCATTCCAGAGAGGACACCTCTTTCCCATGAAATGGTTTTCTTCTCCCTCCTTTTCCCTGGACCTGCTCTTTTCAATTGTTCTCTTTCCATTCTGTCCTGGGGGTGAGATATTTCCTTACTATCAAGTGCTAGAACTTCAACTTCCCAGCATTCTACTGGGCATGTGGGCAGGGGCAGGGCCTACTGTGAAAGGGTTTTTTACATCATTTGCATCATCTGTGTGATGACGACATGACCACTGCAGCATCTTGTAAGGTCCTGTGGTGTTTCTATGGGGAGGCACTTTCTCAAATCTGGCATTTGCACGGAATTCTCTGAGAAATGTAATTAAAGTACTTTAGAACTCCCAGATAAGTACTGCTGTGAACTCTGCCCTTTTCTTTATTGTTCTATTATTGAACAATTGTTTTATCATCTTATCCAATATTTCTTACTCATTTTCTCCTAGTAAGGTGATTTTAAAACTCAGCAGAACTTATAATATGCATTTCTTAATTAGAACAGGGCTTATGTGCATAAACCAACTCGGTCCCTTGGTTCTGTAAATTTCTTTGTTAATAAGCACTGACTTTAAGACTTTTTTTCCCATGTTAAAAATCAGAAGGAGGCTGGAAGCATCTTTTCTAACTAACAAACTTTATTAGAAGGCATAAGCTTTTGTGAGGTGCATCTCACTTCATCAGATGCATTGAGTAGCTAGAGTGATGCAGGATATATCATTGTTAGTTGTGAAAGATATCTTAGAATACAGCACAGACCTATGTTTTATTATGTGAAGCTGGGACTGCTGGGTTCATGTTGCCCTGGTGTGGGACTGCCCTCTCTCTTGATGTTATAGCTTAATTTTTAACCCATACTTTGTCCTGCTGCAGAATAGGGTTATGAGAAGGCTGTGTAGGAAGTAATGAAAAGATAAGGACAGTAATTCTAGTGATCTACAGTAATGTAGGCTTCTTTGCTATGGGTTTTTCTCTTGCTATTGTTGGCTGAATCTGCTTGCCACAGATTATGTATGCCAATACAGAAAATGTCTACCCACTAGGGTTGACTTGAAGCATTAACACAATTCTGCCAATCAGATTGTTTTGAACACTAAAATGAACATTTTTATTTGAACATTTTTAATTATGTAGATAGACTGAAAGTTGTCTGTAATCCCTGTATTACAGATTAATATGTTGGATGAAGTTTGACATTTGGTCTGAAGAGTGGCTCTTATATAGAGATGATTGAACATGAATGATGTAGGAAATTAATTTTACGAAAAGATTATAAGCTGTTGATTAATTATTCTATTTTTAATTACCATTGTTGAGGCTTGGTATAGATTTTCTTTCTGACTATAGTATGTTTTAGCCAATCTTAAAAAATATGGAGCTAACCTGAGGATTTAACTTTTACTCAGCTGTAAAGTATATTAGGTGTTATTGGAACAGTCATTTTCCTTCGGTCTACTTCTTCCCAGGAGTTGGAAATTAAAAATGGTAGGTTAGGCTGAAAATGTAATGAACCAAATAAACAACTGAAGTAAGTGCTTACACCATTTTCAACTATTTATTTTATTATATGTATAACTCAACTTACAGCTCCCAAAAAATAGAAAAGGAAGGAAAACTTTGCAAAATGTCCATAAGACTTCATGGACATTTATGCATAAATCTTTAAAGAATTCCTTTATTTGGTATTGTTTATGTATTGACCTGTACTCACATGTGAAATCTTGGCTAGAACGTAGATCAATTGGTTTCATTCATTTGTCTTATTGGCAAAGGAGAAATTAATCAAGGAACTTGGACTAAATAACCTTGCCTGATCTCATTTTCTCACAGAAAGTCATATTCTGGAGGATGTGAACAAGTGCATCATTGCTCTGAGAGAGCAGAATCCTGATGAATTGGACTGTGCAGCTGGTGCCATCCGTGGGCGGGCAGCAAGAGTGGTGGACATCGTTTCTGGGGAGATGGACAATTATGAGACAGGGGCCTACACTGAAGGAGTGATGAGAAATGTGCGATATCTTTCAAATGCTGGTATGTATATATGCATTTTTTCTAGGTTCTTAATTTCTGTTGTGTTTTCTTAGGGAGTATAACCAATTCCCTAAAATTGACATTACAGTTGATTCATATATTTTGTTACAAAAGTTAAAGGCATCCATTTGGGAATATCTGCCTAGCTTTCTGTGTGCACTAGGAGACCTATGTTTTCTATGGAGTCCTTGGGGTTCTCTGAGCTTGGCTGTTGTCCTGCAAAGATTTCATTACCCAGCTAGGTAACATCTTCAGTGCTAGAATGGTATGGGGTTGCTCTCTGTTTATATGCAGTGGCATGCCCTGCCAGGGTTGGTGGGGGTGTGGGCGTGGGTTTTGTTTTCTTTTGTTTTGTCCTCTGGTAGTTCCTTGATTA